ATGGAGGAGTGTGCTTCTTCACCAGGCTGGTAACTGTGTAACTGAAACCTTATTCACGTGTAAGGCTTGTGCAAGTACCTTCTATGTGTTGCATCACAACAGGTGACTTGGAATGCACAGTTGGGTAGCAATAAATATAAGTCCATAAAGCAAAATATTACGTTCATTCTCTGCATGTCATCAGCTTGCTAACAAATTGCCACTGGCAACATGATTGCACGAAAGATTCTTTATGAAATCTGGGATCACCAACCAGCAGCCAATTCCCACCTCCGTTTCTTGGAATTGGTAGTGGTTAGTCATTTCCTTACCACCATCATCCCTGAAAATAAACTCCTGCTTTCAGTTTCAGTGTACCCCCCAACACACACAGCCACAACAGAAATCATTCGCCAAGCATCCCATCTGCACTTCACTTGTGGCAGATTCAGTACACACACCAGCACATACACACATATAGTCTTAATGGTACGCCCCTGCATATGTCCATCTCCATGCAACATTACCTGCCTGTCACATACTTGGAGTGTTCAGTACTAGTCCTCAGTCCTCCAAAGGTCCTTGAAGAGCTTACACACCCTACACCAGTTTCCATTGTCTAAGTATTGTAAACGTCAGTTGGGTGCTTCTGTAAACCATTTTGCCATTGAAATAGAAGAGATTAAGGTAGCCAGAGCTCCACTGGCATTACTTTCTCTCCTTAGAGATGATGCATTGAAATGAGTTTCCACATTCATGTGTGCCTGCAGAAGCAGAGGTGGAGAGAGGCCAGCTCTGAGGTGAGAGCAGGAAGAGTCTTAGTACTAGTGGAAGTTGGCTGAAGGCAAGAACAGATTTGTTTTGACCTGCTCTTCCAGACAACTCTGTATGTGGGGCAGGAAACAATCCAGGAATAAACTAGGATTAACAGCCACAATACTGAGTCTGCATGTAACACAAAACCATGGTTTAAACTGTGGTTAATACACCAGATTAATATCCTGGGTGGAGGTTGCGAGGTATAATTTACTGTTGCCAACCTATATATAGCCATGTACAACATACACATAGTTTAACACAGTGGCTGGGATGTATGCTACTATCCATGCCACTGGCTACCATACTGAATATGCATACTAGGATCCACTCATTACCTTCAACAATGCACCCTAACGGGGTTCAAGGCAAAAGGACTGACCTTATTCAGTAGGCTCCCTGCTTTCTCTATAGATCCCTTAAGAACATAAGAGACGCCAATGTTGGATCAGGCCAATGGCCCATCCAGTCCAACACTCTGTCACAGTGGCCAAAAATACCAGGTGCCATCAGTGGGGCCAGGACACTAGAAGCTCTCCCACTATTGCTCCCCCAAGCACCCTTCTTCATGTCTTCTCCAGAGAAAGTAAGTACTGCTTTCTATATATTATTTCAGCCTTGAAACTGCATTCATAAAGCCATGCCTTGACTTTTTCAAACCCATATGTTCAAAGTGGGATTAGGGCACATTTCTTCTCTAGTCACAAAGTGGTGCCCAGAGAAAAAAAGCAAAAAACTGTCCTTAATCCACCTTAACTTGTTTATCTCTTGCTGTGCATATAATGCTGGGGTCAGCCAAGACATAAAGATCCCTGGAATGTCTTACATGCACACTGGCTTTGGCATTGGAGATACAGCCTTACGTTTAAGTCCTATTAATTTTCAGGTTGTATGTTAAGAACTCAGATCACATTACCCACATCACCTTCTTATTTCTACCAAGTAAAAGAAAATATATCACATATAGTGAAAATGCTAACTTGATAGGTAATTTAAAATATCTCCTTTCACTTTCAGAATAAATGTAACTATCAGGTAATAGTTAAAGCTGTCACTGGCATGAGACAGCACAGGGTATTATTATTCACCTGCTACTTTGAAAACCGTGGGTTGGATTCTAACAGATTTTTTTGTTGGCAAAAGAGAAAGGGTCCTTTTAGTTAGTGAAAAAACTATACTGGATACACATCAGGACAAAAGCCAGGCAGAATAGTATCTGCAATGAGGATGGAGGTCAGATCAGATTGAAAAGCTGATAGAATCCAATCCATTTTTTTAAATGTATAGCATAGCATCTTCAAAAATACTTTACCAATACAAATTAATTCAGACTCAGCAAATATACAGAAAATATGTATGATGACAGCAAGGTTCAAGTGAATCGGATGCAGCTCTGCATAGCCTAATGGAAATCTGATAGACAAATGCATTACAGAAAAAAAAGAGAGATTTCTATCAGCTGAACTCTACACACAGTAACATGAATGCTGGTTGTAAATATGTTCTACATGAAACCCAAAACCCCTTCTATGGGCTACACTGTTACTCTTCAGGAAGATAGAATTTTTCATAGGTTAGACATGCAGGTTTTACTTGACTTGTATTACAATCATTGTTAAGGCTTTTAGAATCTAAGTAACTGGATTTGAAGAGAAGCTGCTAAAAGCTAAGTGTTTAAAATTTTTGTATAAAATGCCATTGATAACATACAAATGGTTATCTGGACAAACTATTCAAGTCATGTAGAATTCATCCTATAAAAGAATATTTTGGTCAAACAATATAGTATGACATGGGGGTTTGGCTCCTTTAGATATTACTAACTGACCATGCTAGATGCATTACGCATACACACATGCGCGCACACAAAACTACTGGCACAGAGGGTACATTCACCCAGTATGTTGTTATGCCTTCCTACAGTGTTATTTTAATACCAGATCCTTACAGGCAACCAAAACAGTTCTGTCTATTGATTCCTGGCTGATTTCTGAAACTGCTCAAGTGTTGGCATCATTTAATTTGGCCTAAACCTGTAAAGTTGTTCTTGCTTTGTCATCATTATAATTAGGAATGGGCGCCACAGACTGGACTACAGACCTAATTTTTCCACAGACCAGGACCCAGTTTGTGGTCTGTGAGCCCGGTCCATGCCATCCTACCAACACAGACCTCCCACAATTGCTCATGCAATTGCATGAGCTCCTCCCTGCAAGTTGGAAGGCTTCAGGGGTAGGTGCTCCTAGGAGGCAACCAGTTGCTGGGCTGCTGGTCAAGAGCAAGAGAGTAAATGGCTCACGGCAGGAGCTAGGTGACCCGCCCTTTAAGGGCAAGGGGGTTGGTCAGGGAGTGACGCCTGCCTTGCCTGTTCCATGCTTGCTTAGTTGTCTTTGCTGCAATGTTCTGTTAAATAGTTAATAAAGTGGCCCTTGTGTAATTCCAAAACCGTTGTCTGTCTCATTATTCTGGCTGGGGAGGGGGGGGCAATGTACATTATTTCACTGTCATCCATACTGTCCATGATGTTATTTTTGTTTTTAAATTTTACTAGTAAATACTGAAGCGAAGAATATCATGATGCTTTCGTAAATAGTTACCAGAAGCTTTACTATTACTCTCTCCCTTCCCCCCCTCCACCTGTGTGGCAAGAGAGGGAATGTCCCCTGGGGTCATGAATTTTTTCATTGCCATACCTCTGCTTCGCTTACTACATGTGTGCGAGATCTCATAGTTCTCTGAATGCAAATTCATCTCTATGAGCATGGATTCCATGTTCAAATAAACATGTGGGGTATCTTCTATGAGTAGGGTTGCTAATTCCAGGTTGGGAAATACCTGGAGATTTGGGGGGTAGAGCCTATAGAGGGCAGGGTTTGGGGAGGGGAAGGACTTTAATGGGGTATGACATCATAGAGTCCATTTCCCAAGCTGTTATTTTCTCCAGGTGAAATGACCTCTGTTGCCTGGAGATCAGTTGTAATCTCGGGATAGATATCTCCAGCCACCACCTGGCGGTTGGCAACCCTATCTATAAGCGGTGAAGGAGTAAATACTTGAGCCCACAGTACGATCCTGAGAGAAGGCAGAAATAATGTCCAAACAGGCCCTTATGTGAGAGAAATCTTGTGAGACCTACAGGAGGCAACAAAAGCCATTTTGCAGGAGTTCTAAGTGGTCAGTGGCAGTACAGAAGATAATCTTGGGCTCTGCACTTCTGGATATTCATTGAGTACTAACCCTATGGACACAGAGCCAAGTATTCTTCTTCCATCTCAATCATTCTTGTTAACTGGGCCATGTAAACTTTTCCTCAGATCTTAACAGTGCCTCTACCTGTTATCTACTCATTTATAGGAGCTCATAATGTACAGAATGATATACATAAGCTTTACCCAGAAGTGCTCCCCCTTTTCCCAAAAAAACTCTGTAGTCTTCTGGCTCTCCAGTTTTCAAGGATGCCTTGTAGAAGTTCCTGTGATATTTAAAAAATCTGAAAATTGGCAGCTTTACTAAATGAATATAGTACTTTTGTGAAATGAAGGAGGTTTGGACACATTCTTTGCAAGACATATCACACACAAAAAGGCACTTTGATAAATTACCTGGCCCCCGAATATCAACTGTACTTGAAACAGGAAAACATTACATCATATAGTGGCCATATAGTGTAAATCCACTACATTGCAAAGTCTGCCTAAAGCGGAAGTCCTAAGGAAACTTTCCTGGGAGTAAGTCCCATTGACTAACGTGGGGCTTACTTCTGAGAAGACCTTCTAAGGATTGTTTTCTGAGACTGCTGTTCAGTGATCATTTTTCCTTTGCTATGTACTATGCGTTATCTAAAACAAAATAATTTCTAAACTATAGTTTATTAGCTTTAGGGTTTCTCCACTGAACATAGTCCCTCTTTCTTCGCAATATTTAATTACATAGACCTGTCTGCCATTTGCAATCTTACTTCTTTAGATGCACAAAAAAATATTGCATGTACCACTTTGCTCAATACCAGATTTCTCTCCGCATCATCTCATATCCATTTAGTGCTACCCTACAGCAATTTAAAAGTACAGATACTGCCATTGCTCAAGGTGGCCACCAGTTAACCTAACAAATCTAAAGAAATAGAACTAAGAGACTTTTCCACACTTGTGTTTACAATCACATGGTTCTATTTTATCCAGTTGTTGTACATTCTTTAAACTCACCACTGCCTCAGGATCATTACTATCTTCACTGTTGCAGCCATAGTAGTCCATGAATTTATCCACATCTTGTATATTCCCTTGCAGTCTTACACCCTTGTCCGTGTGACAAGCCTGGCAGAGGGGTGCATTGCCCATATCAGTCCTCCAGTTAACTCCTGCAAGTGGGTATGACTTTGCAGGGTCCTGAACACACCTACTGGGCAGATGACTTTACACAATCCAGAAGGATAATTGCTGCCCCTATAATCTGCTCCCTTCAGTAGAGTTTTCTTTCAGCTGGTTGTCCCGAGTCAAAAAGAAACCTCAGCAACTGCACAGAGCCCTCAGTGACCATTTCCAATTCAGGCACAGCCTGTCTATTTTTACACCTACCAGGCCAGCTATGCATGTAAATTGACTGGGGAGGGGGAAGCTGTTTTCTAGCACACAGCCCATCTGACTAGCGCACAGAGTTAAGTCCCACTGTGTGAAATGCCTCCACATGTAAGGGTTATTGAATTACCCAGCTGCATGCCTTTGAATGTTTTGATTCCCCCCCACCCACTGCCATCCCTCAGTGCTTACCCAAAACACTACATTTCAGAAGACTGCAAGCTAATGCCTTGGTGCTTTCCATATATAAGGGTTAAATGTCAACTATTCAGTGTTTATCACGCTACCAAAACATTTCCGTACACTTCTTACAGCTGTCAATAAAAATGTTTACACATGGCATTTAATATGAAATGCTGGCATACATGTACACATCAGATTTGTTTTAGGCATATGAGTCATGTGGGGGATTTTTCACCTGTCATTATACCAGATTACGGTATTTGAACATCAATTAAATCACAGATCTAAGCTGTCATTTTTTAAAAAAAAAAAATGTGTGTCTCTTTTAGGATTCCCCACCACCACTATTGTACATTCACTTTCAGAGGTCTAAGGGGAAAAACAGTCATGTTTTTATATCAAAACTGCAAAGACAGCTTGTATGGTACACAAACATATTATTACTAATGGAATAGATGCAGAAGATACCAAACATATATAAAATAACTGTTGATTGAGCTATTTTTTCAGTTATTTAGACAAACATTTTGAGCATATGCTACTTTTTGTGCAAGATTCAGGTACATTTTGTTTTGGAGATTCAACTGATATTCAGGACTCAGCTGTCATTAAGTCCCACATCTCTGTTGCGCTATTGATTTCTACCATCACTCTTCACATCAGCCAGGGTTTAGAACCAGATCGTTGTGTTTTTCACCCGTGAGGATTACTGACCCATGTGGAATTCTCTCACGTGTCAATTATGTCAAATTGAATTTAAATGGCTCTATGCTTTCCCACCCCAACTGCAAGAACTTTTGGTATGTAGATGTTTTATTATTCATTATTTAAAAATTATTTTAAATTGATTTCTGAACTGCAGTTCTTATGGCATAGCCAGGTATGTTAACATGGCTTAACAAATCTGACTTGAGTGCCATAGAAGTATGTGATATGGAAGGTTTCTACAGTTTCCATACTCTGATTTATTTGCCATTGCCTCTGTGGGGATTTGAGCACACAAACCATGAAGAAACCTCAGCTTGGATCTGTCACATTCAAGGAAGCAGGGACTGAAGACAAGCAAGGTCCTCCCCCTTTCTTCACCCAAAGAAGAGTCATGCATGCCATATTCAATACAGGGGGTACAGACATCTGACCCAAACCCATCTCTTTATACATTTGCAGTATCTGCAATTTCTTTGCCTTTATGTCAAGAAAATATGGTGCATCTGTCAACAGTGAAGGAGCTCACGAGCATTCACAGGGCACCATCAAGGCATCAGAAGCAACCAGTCAAACACAGCTACCATTCAGGGCCCGGGTGGAAACCTCATGAGAATTTGCGTAACATACAAGTAAGGGTACCCAGACTTGGGGAACATGACTATGGCAACACAAGCAGCCACCCTAACATGGTGATAGAGGAGGTACCCCAGAAATGACTCTCTAGCCACGCATCTCTGTTGCCAAAGTGGGTGTGGAAACAAGCCAGAATTAAGTACGTATCATGACACAATGGTCAAGAATGTGTAGTTAATAATCCAAGTTCAGATCCTGGCTAGTATGGTGGGCCACACCCAGATATTCAGTAAACTATGGTTAACTGAGTTAAACCATGGGTTTGTAGTTATGCCTGAACTGGGCCTTACTTTCAGTAGAATGTGACTAGGCCCTAGCATTTAAATCTAATCCTAACTTACCCAGAAGAAAATCCCATCAATGACCTTCCCTCTATCCCTGTGCTGTACAAAAGCACAGAAGCACTTACAGCCCTCAAACCCCCTTTCCCCTTCCCAGCTGGGAGGTACTATAAAACTACAGTGAGGCTCGACCGGGCAAAGAAAAAAGCCCTTTGAATGTCCCAAAGGAGAGACAAAATGCAGAGTTTAACTCTGCCATTTTGAAAATGGAGCCTAGCTCTCCCAATATCATGGCAGATGGAGTATTCACATGGAGTTACACCTTTGAACCAGATCAAATGACTTTTTCTTTGACCCAATTTAATGAAGAAAGCCACAGAAAACTCATAAGTCGTGCTCCAAATTTGCATGACATCGGCCCCGGTCACACGGAGCATTTGCCACGCTAAAGATACAGATGATAGGCGGATATTCCGGGTGCGATCACACCGCAACATCTGGGAAGCGTAGTGCTCCCGTGGCTATCCCGTGGCATCCCGCCAAAGATGCGGACTAAAAAACTAGTACTTACGAAGTACTGGTTTCCGGACACCGCGAGGCAAGGGCGGGCGTCTGATCACGTTTCCGTTGGAATCTTGTGGCATCCAGCACCCGCCGATGTTCCTTTGCAAACAAGCCCCCCCCAAGTCTCCGCAGGATGCGCAAAAGCGCAAACTTCGGTTAAAAAAAAACACCCGTTTGCCATGGAAGCGGCGCCTAGCGATTGCTGCTGTGATCGCGCCTCGCCACTTCTTTGCCGTGCTGCAGGATACCTGTGTGATCAGCACCTCACCCCCTAACCACGGGACCTCGATGGGACATGTGATCGGGCGGCCATGCGTTATTTTGCTCCGGGGCAAGCAGCCACGCTCCCCGACCCCCCGCATTTTCCGGCCCATGTGACCGGGACCATCATATGGATGCTCCCATTTAAATCCGGGGCTTCCTGCATTCCATGCAGGGGAAATCCCCATATGAAAACAGCCCAGTTTAGCTTTTGTTCTAATTTTATTTCTCCTTTTCCTCTGTTTTCAGTAACATAAGACTGAAGTTGGCACTCCCAGGAATTTAATGGTGTTCTATAAATACAAAACATTAATCTGCTGCTGCTTGTTTGGTGTTCATGCCATTTTGCCTTCTCACATTTTGTGCCTAATGAATATGGTTGATAAAAGTTTATAGTAACTGCTAATATGTAAAATCTAAAATAAGAGTATTCTCTCTAAATTGGCACCTTCATTCTAGCATGGTGCATTAAATTAGAATCAGAGAAGGGAGCAGAATTTAGAGAAGGCCTGGAGGAAAAAACAGGAAGAAAACTGATTAGATTTTGTCTGGCTCCACTGAACTCCATACTTACCTCACCAGCCAGACTCCCACCCCACCCCAACCCCCAGCAAGACAGAAGGAGCCTCCTGTGCCAAACTGACCAAACCCAGAAAATATCATGGAACAGCTGGGCGACATGCATGGGGCCAGCAAGGCTCTGACTGACAGGAGCTAATGCCAGGCCCTTTAAGGCTGATTCACCTCCCAGAGTGCCAGCCACTGAGGTCCTCCACTGACCGCATCCTCCCATGAGACTCATTTTCCACAGGAAAACCACCGAGGCCTCTTAAGGAGCCAAGGTGTAGTCTAAGAAGGAGCAAAATGGGTCTCCCCCCACCCTGCTGCAATAAAGAGCCTGTGGAGACGAGGAGGAACAAAGTGAAGGCAACTCCTTTCCCTCTCCATTCTGAAGCCTTGCAGGCCCCAAGTGACTGTGACAGTGGATGTGACAGCCAGATAGCTTGGTCCCAAACAACCCCCGGTTCCAGAAGGGGGTGCAGACAGGTCACAGTCTCACAAAGTATTGTATATGGCAATCTACAGCATTAGAAAATGACACACATTCTCACAAGAACCTCACGGAGAAGTGGAAATCCTATTCCCCTGCTGTTCCCAGACCTCCCATCTTGTTTGCCTCTGCTTCCCTTCCTTCCCCAACTACCTCCTCCTCCTCCCCATCACGGCTACCTCCTCCCAATCTTGTTCTGCTTTGTAACCATCACCTTCTTGCTTCTTCTTCCTCCACTTCTTCCACCTTGCCATACATTTCATGGTGAAGGGGGATGCCGAAGTGATGGCAAAGACCCACAGAACAACAAGCTGTACAACTGTCCATCTTCCTGCTGCCTCCACTTCTTCCACCTTGCTATACATTTCATGGTGAAGGGGGTACCGAAGTGATGGCAAAGACCTACAGAACAACAAGCTGTACAACTGTCCATAACCTATGTTTGTATTACAAACTTGTTGGTTTGTTTTCTGAAGGGGACATCCTACATAGGAGACATCTTTATGAGGACTCTTACACTGTAGTATAATTCTATGGGATGAAGAATTTGGACACTCTATATAACACACCTTTAAAGAACTCATATAATGGGAAAGAATGCCCACACAATCAGTTATAAAGAGGGCAAATACTAACCACATGCATTCCTTTCAAAAACAACCTGCAGATGGCTAGGATCTACACAGATATCTAACACAAAGAAAGGAATAAGCTTTCTGTCTGCTCTTAGAACAGTATTAGGTTTGTTTGTCCAAATAGTTCTAAGTCTTTAAGGACAAATTACTCAGAAAGTAAATATTTTCATCTTCTGCCAAATCTAGATTCAAACTAAGTGTATATTTAGAGACTTAGGCTTCAAAGTCCTTATGCAGGAGTGGAAAGTTCCCATGCTCTTGTTAGTAATGCACTCGTTATTTGGGCCTGTTTCTCAGATAGTTCCTATCAGATGGCAGTTGAGGAACCAAACACAGAATCTGTTTGTTATAGTACTCTGTTTTGTAAGGCATTCTAACGTATAATCACAAAACAAATTAAAGGAAAATAGTCAGATACTGCTGTCACTTTCTGAATATAAGGTTATTCAGAGATGTGAAAAGGGCAATGAACAAAATTTGCTGATCACCTTGCTTTATTCTACCACTAGCTAACCGGCTGATTGTGCCATGAGCACCTTG